TAAAAAAGGGATTTTTGGGTTCAAAGTTGGCAGTTTTGGCTTCCCCAATTCCAGCAGCTCCTTTGGGTTCCCCAAAAGGAAGTTGGACCAACCCTGGGTAACCCTAATCCTGGGAAGGAGGAAGTTTTTTGGGAGCTGGGTTGGGCTTTGGGGGCTTTGGACCTCCTTAAAAAAAAACAAAACAACAAAAAAACTGCAACAAAAAACTCCATAAAGGAAAAAAAACCCCCAATTTCATCCAGGCCAAAAATATTTGAATTGGGGAAGATTCTGTGCTGGAAATACAGAAAATTTGGAATCCTGGATGGTGTGAAAGAGCATTTTGTGTTCTTAAAAATGAATATTTTCTTGTGCTTCAAAAGCAGAACGAAGAGGGGTCGGAGCCACTCCTGGAAATCCCAGATCCATTTAAAAAACCTGGAATTAGAGCAGGTTTTCAGCATCAATTTGGCCACAATCCTGGCTGTGTGGGGATAAAAAGGGCAGCCCCAGATAATAAATCTTATATTATTTAAGCTCATTACTTAATCCAGCCCTTAATTCCTGGTTTTTGACAGCGAGTGGGTAAAATTAAATAAAAACCATTAAAAACCACCCGTTTTTGTGCCCAAATTGGACGATTTTCCTGCTTTTCCCCCCTGCCAAGCTGTTTATTTGGGCTGGTTTTTCTCCAGGCTTTTCCCATCAGCTTTTTTTTTGTGGCTTTCAGACAAAAATTAACACTTTTTTGCCACCCAGAACGTCTGGATGCAAGTGGTGGAGCCAGGAAAGGGTTTGGACGTGGATGGATGGAATGGGAAGGGCTGGGAACAGGGTTTTGGGCTGAGTTATCCCAAGGGATGGAGCCAGGAAAGGGTTTGGATGTGGATGGATGAGCCCCTGTGGAATTCCCTGGACTGGGAATGTCTGGGAACAGGGTTTTGGGCTGAGTTATCCCAAGGGATGGAGCCAGCAAAGGGTTTGGACGTGGATGGATGAGCCCCTGTGGAATTCCCTGGACTGGGAATGTCTGGGAACAGGGTTTTGGGCTGAGTTATCCCAAGTGATTGAGCCAGGAAAGGGTTTGGATGTGGATGGATGGAATGGGAATGTCTGGGAACAGGGTTTTGGGCTGAGTTATCCCAAATGATGGAGCCAGGAAAGGGTTTGGACGTGGATGGATGAGCCCCTTTGGAATGGGAATGTCTGGGAACAGGGTTTTGGGCTGAGTTATCCTGGAAAAAGGGTTTGGAAGGTGGGTTTAAGCTCCAAGGCAGAGCTTCATTCCAGTGGGAACGTGACTGGGAACACCTGGAGGCTCCCATTTCCCTGCCAGTGCCAATCCAGGGAATTCCAGAGGTTCCCTTGTGCCCCATCCAGGGCTGGCCACGTCCCTTCCAGCCCTTCCCATCCCTTTTCCCAGCGTTCCTCCTCGGGAAGGATTCCCCTCTGCCTGACCAAACCCATCCCGGATTTCTAATCCCGGTTTTTTCTAATCCCGCTTTTCCCACCCTTTTTCCCAGGATGGCGGACACGGATCTTTTCATGGAATGTGAGGAGGAGGAGCTGGAGCCGTGGCAGAAGATCAGCGATGTCATCGAGGACTCCGTGGTGGAGGATTATAACTCCGTGGATAAAACTGCCCCAGGTGACTCATTCCCTGGAATTGTTGCTCTTCCAGGGGTTAAATGGGAATGGGAATGGCTGTGACCGAGGGAATCCTCCGTGCCCTGATCCCAGGGGGGATTTGGGATGACCAAGGGTCACATCCATGCCCGGAGATGGGGGAGTCTCGTCCCAGCTGGAGTTGGGAATGGGCGGAACGTTCCCAAAATCCCGTCTGGAGTCATCCCAAGCTTCCCCCAGCATGTGCTGTATCCCTGTGTTTTCCAGGTGGGAATGCCGTGGTTCCTCCCAGGGGACAATCCTTGCCCCCAGCTCATTCCCTGTGCTGTATCCCTGTATTTTCCAGGCAGGAATGCCATGGTACCTCCCGGGGGACAGTCCCTGCTGCTGACCCACCTTATCCCATTCCCTGTGTTGTATCCCTCTGTTTTCCAGGCGGGAATGCCGTGATACCTCCAGGAGGACAATCCTTGCCCCCAGCTCATTCCCTGTGCTGTCTCCCTGTGTTTTCCAGGCAGGAATGCCATGGTACCTCCAGGAGGACAATCCTTGCCCCCAGCTCATTCCCTGTGTTCTATCCCTGTGTTTTCCAGGCGGGAATGCCGTGGTTCCTCCCAGGGGACAATCCTTGCCCCCAGCTCATTCCCTGTGTTGTATCCCTGTGTTTTCCAGGCGGGAATGCCGTGGTGCCCCCAGGAGGACAATCCCTGCTCCCAACTCATTCCCTGTGTTCTATCCCTGTGTTTTCCAGGC